CCACCCACCCACCCACCCACCCACCCACCCACCCACACACCCACACACCCACACACCCACACACCCACACCCACACCCACACCCACACCCACACCCACACCCACACCCACACCCACACCCACCCACGCCCGCCCGCCCGCCCGCACGCACGCACAGACGAAGACGTGCACTGCATCGTGGGCCTTGAAGCTGCTATGCAGCCTCCAGTACGCTGACAGGAGCTTAGCCAGCTTCGAGAAGAGGCAGCAGCTGAACGTGCCAACAGGGTCCACTCCTCAGATACTCAGATACCCTACGGGCCGTAGGAAAGATCCTATACACGGTTTAGGGTTTCGGGACCCGATTATAATTCGAATAGGGTTTCGGGTGTATACGTATTGGACATGAGGACTACAGGAGAGCATTTTGGGCAATGAGACTAGTAGTTCCGCCCCCTATATATATATAGCCAGCTTCGCAGCTTCTACAGTTCCGAGTTCAAATCAGCTCAAATCATAGGCTTTTGTCTTTCGAGTTGGCTGGATTGGCATTTGAATTTAGGGCTTAGGCTTTTACAGCTGAGGCCGTCGGGTTTGGCTGCAGCTCCGTCTTTCCGAGACACTACAGTATTGGTCAGGGGCTTTCGCCGAAGCGTCGTTGATTGCTTCCGGCTTCTGCCGATTTTCGAGGGCCTGGGTCAGGTGGAGCAATTTGGCAAACCCACGAATGCATGACTATGGGGACAGTATGGACACTGGTTCCAGCAACTGTTTTGATGCAAACCCGAAATGCGAGGCGGCCATGCAGGTGCTGGAAGTTGTTCAGCAGCTGTCGGAGAGTATCACGGGACCCAACGTAAATCGTTAGCCCGGAAGCCAAGCAGCCCAGCAGGGCCTGTACCCTACCATTCCGTGCTGAGGAGCATGCGGATGAGCTTCAGGAGTGCGCTGAGTCGCTGCCTTGGTGTTGGGTGTTCCAACGCTTGCAGTGCGATTTGCGCAGGGGCTAATGCTTCTTTGGCGTAGTGGATTCCAGTGATGCACTGGGATTTAAGGGGGATATCCGACTTCGCGCAGCTTCGCTGAGTTCCGCTTAGATCAGCATTCGAGCCAACCTGTCAGAAGTTGGCATGTTTCGACGGAGCAAGAAAGCGACACATGAGAAAGTGAAAAAGAAGTGTTTGACCAGGCCGCTGCCACCTCTTGGGGCGCTGCGTGTCTTCTCGTTCATGAAATATATGTCCTACACGACTCCCAACAGAAACCCTGGCCCAGAATGCCCTGTCGGGCGGGAGGAAGCTACACCTCCCTATGCCCTTCAAGAAAGACCTTGTCTGAGGCTGGCAGTGCAGCGACTGCACTCAGAGGAGCTCCAAGGTGCGGAGACCCGTAGATCCCGAATTGTCCGGAAAGGGAATTCGGGATGCATGTGTGTGTGTGTGTTGTGAAAGCATGTTATCAAGCGGGGAAGGGTAATTATCGCTTGACCGCTGCAGCAGTTTTGTCGAAACAACCACGGAGAAAAGTCAGTCCTTGCTACTGCAATCTACTTTGCTACATTCCATGCTTTCTGATGCTCTTGAGGAGCGGCGACTCCCGAAACCAGAAAACCCCCAAACTGAAAACCCCTGAAATCCTAAACGCCGAGCCCACAAACCTTTATAAGACCCGAAAAAATCCGCAATGCGAAGGCCCGAAACCCTAAACCCGACCTCCAGGCTTTCACTTTGAGCAAAAGGTCGCCGGCTCAGACTTCTTGGCATCTGGATTTCAGGGGCTTTGGGGGCACGGGGGGGTTTTTGGGAGGTTATCTGCTACTGTACGGACTTCAACGAACCCTAGTCATGGTTTGGGTCTAGGTCGCCTTCTTTGCATTTCTTTGCCCCCATCAGCCGGTGTTTTGGGGGGGAATTGAGGCTGAGGAAGGTGGAGCTCCGGAAGTCTGGATGCACCTTGCGGTTCTGAACCCCTAGCCTACCCATAGGCTCCTTAGTAGTTCCTTTTTGGGATAGCCTTATAGGATTCTAAGTATGAACCATAAAAAGGAACTACTTAGGAGCCTATAGGCTATAGGTAAACCCTAATTTGGCTTCGAAGTTCGGACTTGTAGTTCTCCACGCCGGAGATTGTCGAGGCCACTCCGAAGAGCCGTTGTTCGTATTCGTGTATACGGAAGTATCAGGGCCTTGCTTGGCAGAGTTTGACGTGTAGGCCGAAGCCTCGGCAATTAGTGTCCTTGGGCATGGAATCTGACTACAGTCTGTTGCTCGACAATGCTGAATCACAGCAGAACGATTCGTGAAGACCTCTGTGCGATGGTTTCTGTCAAGGTTGCACTTGCCAGACCGGGTTCCCTCCAGCATAGAAAAAGTTCGGAAACTCAAGCAAGGTTTCTCTCGGGAAATCTGGGGTGGGACGTCTCCTGCTTTATCTCCTCCAGGCACTCCGTGTACAGCTGCAGGACGGGGGAGAGGGAGACCTTCACATGCTTGGATATGGACATCCGTCCACTGCATCCTACATCCAGCTGTCTCGAGCTTCAAAACGATAATGCTCCGAAACTGTAGCTCAAAGGCTGCGACCCTGTCCGGGCAATACTAGTCTGAAACTCTGCTGGTTTAGGAGTTGGGGTTTGGAGTTGCAGATCCGTCGAAGCCGATCCCTATCTAATTGCTGCGCTGCTTCGTGTGGGTGGGTTATTGTACAGACGCATGGTCACGGTGATTCCTGTGCATCTAGATCAGATAGACTTGTAGACAGACGTACACACGAATGCTTAAACATACGCGTACTTTGGTGCAACACGCATACAACTCACAGCGGAGCCCTCGTCGAACTTCGACCCCCCCCCCCATCCTAGATCCTCAGACCATACAAGTGCTGAAGACTGGTCCACGCTCAACACAACCTGCAACCCTACAACAGGAAGCCAAGAACCTGAATATTACAAAAACCTGAGCCTTCTACGCCCTGTAGCCCGAGGAATAAACCTCATTTACGGAGCCGCCCGACGCCCACAACATCCCTCGCAATCCCTCCAGGAGCAGAGGCGTCACTCCACGGAGGCCTTAGAGGCCCAGCGCTGGGCCGTGCGGAAGGCGACAGCTGGAGATCCTGCATGTTCTTGCAGACCTTGCAGAGGGGTGTTCAGGGAGGGTCTTCAGCAGCATCGGACGTTTCGGAGACCCCCGATGTATGGTTTAGGGTCTATGTTAGTGCTCCTCAATGCGGGTTGACACGTTTGAGGTGCTGCACACAAGCTTAATAATAATATCTCAGGAAGCACATTACAATCCACAGGTATCTGTGCATACCAATACAAAATACACGCATGTCACCTAGACGCCCTAATACACAGTTACCGATTAAGTATCTATATATATATACACACACACACACACATGCAGGCAGGCATGCATGCAAACATACATGCATACATACATACATACATACATACATACATACATTGACATACATCGACATACATTGACATACATGGATGGGTGGGTGGATGGGTGGATGGGTGGATGGATGGAAGGTAGAGTAGGGAGATGCATGTATTCAAGCATGCAGGAGAAGCAGCTTCGAAAGCAGCGCTATGTGGCTTGTCCGCAAGCGTCTTTGTGCGACGAGTCCAGAAGTCTCCCGTCTCTCGGATGCTGGGGTTCACCTCCCTCAAACTTCCAAGGATCTCTTCAATGGATAATTTTTTCAGTTTTTAACGAACGGTTCGTTCAATTTCACGGATGTTGGAGTGTCTGGTGTCTGGGTGTAGGAACCAAGCGCATGTAAAGACACCTCGTGCTTTCGGCTATCGCCAACAACCCAACTCTTCAGCAGCAATGTCGATGTGCTAGGGTGAACTGCGGAGAATCCAGATTGTTCTATTTCTTAGCGCTAGAGCATTGTGTCATTCGTTTCTTCTTGTCGGGAGTTTTCAATTACAGGGCCACGGCCGCGGAGTGCGTGTAGCGGGACGGCGGCGGTCCCTCCCAGCCGAACGTCGTTGCGCCATGGGCTGCCCTCGGCTTCACACAGGTTCCGAGGCCTTGCTGTGGAGCGACGAGGCGTGCGTCTGGAGCACAAACGCCACGGAGTACCGACAGTTGCAACTGGGAGCCTATCTCAATGAAGAAGGCAGCGGCTCAGCCTGGCCGCTCTACGGCCTCCTTGTGGCCTATCCATTGACCAGCATTGCCCAGCAGAGCTGCAGTGGCCTAGTACAGCGAATGCTGAGCCGACAGGCCTTTCTGCGTGCCGCTGTGGTGGATGCCTTCAGCCTGCTCCCAATGATGCTGGTCTTCGGCAGCTGCTCCTTCCGAGCCTTCGCTCTCTTCGGGCCTCAGCTGCTTGCACTTTGGAGGAGACCGAGCCAGAGCAGCGCCCAGAGCGAGGAGCGGCTCTTCTCGGAATCCGAAGGCCGCCTAAGGTTTCTGGCCGAGTACCGTGCCTTTGTGATGATTTCCACCTGTATCGTCATCCTCGCAGTCGACTTCGCAGCAGTGTATCCTCGGGAGCACGCCAAGACCGAAACCTTCGGCTACGCGTTGATGGATCTTGGAACCGGCTGCATCGTCGTCGCCACGGCCGTGTCCGTGCGGTCGACAAATGCGCTTTCCGTCGTCTCTGTCCTTCGGAAGCTTTGGCCGGTTCTTGCTTTGGGGGCGCTTCGCGGCGCGCTGCTCTGGCAGCTTGACTATCATGTGCCGGTCTCCGAGTATGGGGTTCACTGGAACTTCTTCTTCACTGTGGCCATCGTCGCCTTGGTGTCGAGCCTTCTGCAGCTCACGGCAATGCAGTCTGTGCTCGCTGGCAGCAGCTTGGCCATGGCCTACCAGCTCTTCCTGAGCATGGGAGGCAACGACTTTTTGCTCCTGGCACCTCGGCTCACGCTCTTCTCCGCCAACCGTGAGGGCATTTTGGGCTGCCTCGGCTACCTGAGCCTCCACTGGCTGGGCACCGGTCTGGGCTCCCTCTTGAGGGACCGATCTGCTTCGGCAAGGCTTACCGTGCTGAGGCTCTTGGCAATCTCCTTTTCTGGCGGCTTCTCCACCTACTTGCTGAGCCTAGCTGGTATCGCCGTATCACGGCGACTCTGCAACCTGCCCTACGTCCTCCACATCCTCTCCCTCAACGCCTGGGTACTGGCATGGCTGGCGTTGACCGACCTCGCCGCAGACCGCCCGAGGCCCCCTCTCTCGCTGACTTTGGCCGCTGTCTCTGAGTCCATGCTAGCCGTCTTCCTCTTCGCGAACCTGCTCACAGGGGTGGTGAACTTGACGCTGCAGCCCTTGCTCCTCCCACAAAGCCCGGCCTTCTTGGCCTTGGCCTGCTACTACCTCTCCTGGTCTGTGCCTTGCGCCTTGCTGCGCAGCAAGGGCCGCAAGCTGAAGTGCTGGTGACGCGGGCGGGGAGAAGCGATGGCGCAAGTGCGAAGGTTCTAGATTGGTACACGGCAGTGTTGCAGCATGCGCATCGTGGAGAGATCTGAAAATGCAGCACAGCCACCCAAGTCAAAACAACCCATGTGCTTGCAGCAGCAGCTCATTAGAAGAAGTCTTCACCCGCGAGTCCCAAATCCTTGGCTACACTTGTCCAGCATCAGCCCTCTGCCCGAATAAAACCCACAACAGCCCCCGGCCTGCTTATTATAGTAATTCTAGTGTGGTTCCAGTTATTTCCGGTCTATATATTCGGTGTCGCGCTTCTTTGCCCCAAGAGCCGCAGTACGCAGAATCCTGTGACCCCACCGTCCAAGCACTTCTCCGAGGCGCTGCTGCTTGCAGCCTCAGAGGCCGCCACGGTGATTAGTACCGTCATTATAGTGATTATAGTGGTGCGGCTTATTGTTACTGCTATCGTTGTTTTCCTATGATTGGTTATTACGTTCGTTACCAATATTCACAGTAGAAGTTTCAGTGTTAACTACTACTGCTGGCTGATCACATATTGTTCATATTCATGATTGCGGTTATCACACTCTCTCGCCGCTACTGTGATTTCATTGCTGCTCTAGCCTTTTATGACCAGTGTCATGGAGTTCCAGTTGTACAACTTGGTACCTGCCAGGTTGATGATGCATGGTTGGGTGTATGGGTTGCTGTGCATAAACTAGGTACATCGTGACATTGTGTGATTGCCACTGCTGAAACAAGGCGTCGAGGTTGTTTCGCTCAATTGCTGTTCTCGCGATGGTGGACATTATTGCACATGTTGCACTTCTCCTAATATGTCAGAAGTGGAGGAGAGGAGCTCTGAGGAATATGGATTTGGTCTTGTGCTGACACGGCTTAGGGCATATGAGTTTAAGTTGCTGAAAGATTGCTGACCCTACTTAAAAGTCTGATTCGTTGCATCTGGCCCCCGTTTCGTTGCATCTGGCCCCCAACATAGCCAATTGTTTGGGCTGTGAAACCCGAGGGTTTGCCACTCCATTTTCTCTATGTACAGATTGCTGCATGATGTACGGATGTGAAACCCGAGGGTTTGCCACTCT